AGTATCGGGCGGCACTTTTGGCTTCCAGGCCCATTTGACGGAGAACGATTATTTGACGAACTGTTGATGGGCTTGAGTTGAGCTGAATATTAGCTGATGACCACTCGAACGAAATGTTGAGGTACATTATGTGAGGTAGTGTATGTGTCTAAAATCTAAATATTATGAAGCGAAGGTAAAAGTCAGGACAGGCTAAGATCTTTTTGGCTGTTATGTATGACAGGTAAAAAAGTTTACAAAGTCGTATAACATAACTTTTGAGCTTTAGGACAATCTTAAAAATGTGAAATCCTTAATCGGCATTTCCTTGCTCCCATTAAGTCACAGCTTTAGCTTATAGCTGTTCTGCATTAAATCCCTACTTCACACGTGAGTACCCACCTTATACCTATAAGTACAGCTTTCTTCTTGTGCTCCGAATCCACTAAATCTTACCATCTTAAGCTTGTGAAGCAACCGGCTTTTCAGCAAACCAACGAAATCAGGTAAGCTTCCTTCTCATATGAACACGAGTGCCTGTAGTAGCGTCTGGATCCATGAGTAGACAAATACGGTCTACTAAGCCTACCAAGTCCGATTCTCACGGCCGTTTTTTGGAGCGTATTGCGAGAGAACTGGCGAGAGTTAGTCCATGGAAGCAAAAGGAAAGGACGCATTTTAGGATACAGGATAAAAAACGCGCCCATCTGTCCTTTCATCCGTCCCATGCGCCAACGCGCGGTACCCCGCCCGCACTAACGCCTTAGACTCAGCCGTCCAGGAGAGTCGGCCGTTGAGCTTATTCAGAGTCCCAGACTCGAAAGTCGAGCCGAAATCCCTCCCTTCGCATCGGAGCGGCAGACAGGCAAGGAGGCAGGGAGAGCGCCGCCGCCACCGTTGCCGCCGGGCTCCCGAACCGGTTATGTGACGGCCAGCCCGCGTGGCACCGCTGACGTCACTGGCTCGACCTATGACGTCATCAAAGCCAGCAGCACCACCGATCGGTTCTGAAGTGCGCGTCGGCGGGACAGCGGCGTATTCTGGCTCTCACCTCTGGGGCGGGTCCTGCCGCGGGCTGGCCGGCGAGTGGTGTGGTCTGGCGCCCGGCCCTGAAGAGAGGGAGGTCGGCCCACACACCGAGCGACTGCCCGCAGCTGAGCCGGCTCACAGAGGTAGCTCAAAGCGAGCTGAGTGCTCAGAGGTGCTGAGCGTTCTCACCGAGGGCTCTCACCGGTTGATTGCGCCGAGTCAGGCAGGGTGGTCCTCAGCAAAATGTCTTGCCCAATCAAAGTTCGTCTGTCATGGCAGGAATCATCCAGACCCGCTGACGGTCATTCAGTCTGCCAGGACGCTAGGAGTCAATCTGCTCTTCCAGTGGCTAGCCAAATTGAGCAGGAGTTTTCAAGTCTGTCAGGAGACATCCCGTTCCATCAGGAGTCAGGCTTTCACATTAGGATTCACATCATCGTTGCACCTGCCTGGAGCTAAGGATGCATTCTGCAGCTAGCGTTCAGGCTTCTTTCTCAGTAACCCTGACCTTGAATTCACTGTCAACGAACTCTTCCAGGGACAACCAAATGAGCCAGCTGTATCTGTAGATACCTGCGCCGGCGTACTCTTGACTCTTTCACCAAAACCCTGGAGATCAGTCCAAGCTCACTCTACGCCGGTCGCCGGTGGCATTCCTGCGGTACACCGCTCGGCCGGTCCATGATGCGGTAAAACCACCCATTTTTTAGAGGGCGAATCAGGCACGAGCCCAAAGAAGTCTGGAGCGTCACGCAGCGCGGGTGCATGGACAGCTGGCCCCGGAACGGAACCCACACCGGCACGTGAAGGAGGCACGCCAATAAAACACGTCAGTCATATCGTGAGTCAGCAACTGCCGGCTAGACGTTCAGACACTTACAGCGAAAAATTATTAGTGTGAACGTCCTAAATTTATCGGAGGAAAACAATATTATAATCCCGTTGCTCCGACTCTATAAGTTATTCGGGTAAAGTTATACAGTCTTTGAACTTTTATTTTTATTTCGGTCAAGAAGTTTTGATCAAAAGAACTTAAGCTTTTCTTTCCTTCCCGTTTCTTTCATCTAACCTAAGCAAAATTATTTCGTTGATAGCGCTGCAGTTCGCCGCAGATTCTTCAGTCTCCTGATTGTGCCTGGTCTGCGGTCTTACGACTGCACACATCCCGTGGAACCCAGCGATACTAGCGCAGCACGGACCACATCCGTGCCGGGATTGGAACCGGAGTCCCCCAGTCTACGGGCGGGGACAGGGCGAGGTGGGCGGCCCCGGGGCGGAGTATGACCATCCACTCCGTGCACAGGTGCTCGACGGCAGTTAGAGCTAAGGCCAGCGGAAATGAGCGGCATGCCAGCCAGCTCGCCGCGCCGCCAATCAGGTGTAAGTGCAGGCGCTCTGCAGAAACTGGTAGTGGTTTTAAATAAATTACATAATAACAAGAGCCAGGTGAAGACAGAGCAAAAGCAGGGAGGAGAGAGAGAGAGAGAGAGAGAGAGAGAGAGAGAGAGAGAGAGAGAGAGAGAGAGAGAGAGAGAGAGAGAGAGAGAGAGAGAGAGAGAGAGAGAGAGAGAGAGAGAGAGAGAGAGAGAGAGAGAGAGAGAGAGAGAGAGAGAGAGAGAGAGAGAGAGAGAGAGAGAGAGAGAGAGAGAGAGAGAGAGTGAAAGGGAAGTAAGCCAGAGAATGCGATAGGCATCAGTGAAAGTCAGAATGAATTATGAAAGTATGCTTTATAAGCAGGTGGGTGATAACTCAGTACCTATATACTACCTACGTACCCTATAACCTTCTATCCTCCATTTTGTATGCACGTAGAGTGCAAGAAGGAAAATCCCTTGAGCGGTGCCTCTCATCCGAACGTAAAATGCGTGGGCCTTTCTTAGCAGCGGCGCGCACCCGGCTAATGCACCGTTAACGGTTCTAACTGCTAACGGTAGGCCCCAAGTACCGGCGACGGTCGCTGAGCCCGCGGTGTTGAATCCGGGATGGAGGTCTGCTCCGGGTTGAGTGCTCATGCAGACCCATTAAATAAAACGGATACGATAGCTATCCCCGCCTGATCTCCTCCACTAATAAAACTGGACGGCCTGCGCTGGACTCTGGCAACAGTTATAAGTATTTTACTTGTTTTGTTATGTTATAAGGCTCTTTCGGTCTAACTGGACCATTTCAGAGCCGGGAGGATGATAGGAATTAGGGGGAGACATTGGTCTGAACAGGCACCTATACCCTCTTAGTGAGTCGTCGGGGCTGAGCCCATCCAGTGGACAGGCCAACCAGCCCCCAAAACACTCACCGCACCCGGCTACGGGCGTGCTCCTATGGGAGCTTCCCGCATGGGATAAAGTTGCCCGACCAGCCCGGAGCAGGGGTTGAGGCGTGGAGGAGAAGGAATTGACCGTCCTAAGGATGGAAAAGGCAAAATGGTGCAATTATAAGTACCGACATTTCACAATCGATATACGTGCCTGGGCCAATGAAAAACTATCCATCTCGCCCTATTAGGAGCTATGCGCCTCACCTTCATTTATATGTTCTGCTAATTATGCACTAATGGAGGTCTAATTTCAACCAAATTAGCCTCATTATTTCGTGGATTACGGAAGAACAACACCGATATACCGCATTAATGGTGACTTAGCTTAATCGCAGCATGCTCGATTTAGATTTGGACCCAGGTATATAAGACTGTGGGGCACGGTAAGGGTATGCAATGAATGCTGGAATGAGTCTCTCAGTCTCAGGCAAAATGTTTGGAATTAACGTATGCCACTACACCTAACCCTATCACTAATTCTTCTGTCTCCCACCATAGGTACTATAAGACCTATCCCTAACCCAGCCGATTCAGCCATTAAGTACCGTACTTCTGAGGTTGTTCTAACTTCTATATACCCTGCTTCTGAGGGTGCCTGCACATGGCAGACGGTAATGGCTGTTTTCACGACGGACTATCCGACGAGTGCACCTAATTTGACCAAATCTGTACCTAATCTCTTTTACAGCAAATATCTGTACTTTATGAATTTATTTCAGTGTTTTCATCGATGATACTCTCTGACAATATGACAAAGCAGGCATATAAGCAATTAGTGCAACCCTAGCTGCAGCTAGTACCTACCTAAGAGACACACTGAACCTGATTTGACCAAATCTGCACCTAATCTGCACCAAATGTGCACCAGATGTGCACCAGATGGCCGTCGTGAAAACGGCTAATACCAGGCATTGGACAAAAATGTCGATGAAACCTTCACCATTAGACGCGCCGTAGTCTGAAATGGTGCCATTTTTTGATATATTTTTTTATTGGTCGACCCTAAGTGGTCCAAATCGGTCCAAAACCCCTAACATCAAAAAATTATCAAATACGGCACCGTTTCAGACAGCGGCGCGTCTAATGGTGAAGGTTTCATCGAAATCGGTCCAGTAGTTTCGGAGCATGGGCTCGTCTGCAACAGATTTTAGGAGTTTTGGACCGATTTGGACCACTTAGGGTGGACCAATAAAAAATTGTCAAAAACGGCACCGTTTCAGACCATGGCACGTCTAATGGTGAAGGTTTCATCGAAATCGGTCCAGTAGTTTCGGAGCATGGGCTCGTCCGCAACAGTTTTTAGGGGTTTTGAACCGATTTGGACCACTTAGGGTGAACCAATCAAAAATTATCAAAAACGGCACCGTTTCAGACAGCGGCGCGTCTAATGGTGAAGGTTTCATCGAAATCGGTCCAGTAGTTTCGGAGCATGGGCTCGTCTGCAACAGATTTTAGGGGTTTTGGACAGATTTGGACCCCTAAGGGTGCACCAATAAAAAAGTTATAAAAACGGCACCATTTCAGACTACGGCGCGTCTAATCGTGAAAATTTCGTTGAAATCAGCTACGTAGTTTCGGAGCATGAGCCCATCTGCCAATCTCGTCTGCTTTTTAGACACTCCCCACCAAAGCGTCTCCTCTCGTGATTGGCTGATGCCCACTACGTCATCACAAACGTGTAGTAAGATTTTAGGTCAACTTTGTTTTGAGGCCTTTATAGCTATATATATCTTTTGAAAGTGACAAATTTACTAAATTATCAGTACAACTTTCCTCGTTTTTGGTATCCATTAAAGAAATAATCTAAACAAAAGCAATCGTGTTTCAGCAAATTATTTTACCGCTAGGGGCGCCAGAGTCATTCCGAGCTGTTGCCAATTTTGACGCACATTTCACAAATACAGCGCTGTCGTCATCTGTCATGGGCCGCTCTGTTTTGCTTTGTGAAGCGCGTTGTGTGTGAAGCGTTGTGTGAAGCGTGTGAAGCTTTATTTTAATGATAGGGGTAGTTGAGATACGATTATTATAGAATTCAGTGGATGCGATAATCGATTGCAAATTTGCTAAAACGTCCATTATTGTCTAGAAGTTGCTTGCTCTACACCAGTTTTTGAAATCAAAATGAATACATTTTTGTCGAGGGGTAATGCTCTCCTTGCATTCACCCTTTCGGTTCTTGCATCTCTCACATTTTGTTGCTTTGCGTCAACATTTTTCAATGACAATCGGCGAGACGCAAATGTGAGAACAGTCCAGGTCGTTGTGTAAGTATTTTTATGTTTTAGGTATTGATTTGTGTGCGCTGCTTAGCCAAATTTAATTTATAGATGGCTCTCATTCAATTGTGTGTCTGAATTAGTGACTTAATGAAAGAAAGAAATTCTAGATAAATAGGTATAGGTATAGGTATAGGTATATAGATAATGGACTTGGGGTAGCAGTATGCTATTTGTTGTCCATGTCATTGTTGGCAAGGAAACATGTCAGGGTACTCATTGAGGTCACAGGTCACAGTTGGCTTTGAGTTGGAGGTGCTTATCTAGCTTAGCTTTAAATGTAGCAGTGGTGTCAGCAGACACAACATCATCTGGTAGCTTGTTCCAGTCATTAGCCACCCTCTGTGAGAAGAACCTTTGTCTGGCTTGATGGACTGACTGCTCCATCCAAATTGTAATAGTCTGAAGGATACCTGACAAGCTCTCATATATTCAGTGTTATAAACTTAATGTATGATGGATCCACTTTACGCTAAGGTGCCTGCAGTGGCTGTGCGAAGATCATGCGGTTTGACGTGGGCCATACTGTGAAAATGCCCGTCCACTGAGGGTCGATGACAGTAGTGTAAATGATTTATGAACAATGACTAAGGAAGCCACTTGAAAATATAGTTTTTGAATTTTGTGTAAGGTTTTACTTTTGTGTACACATTAATGAAATAAATTCAAGTTAAGGACCCAATATCATTTCACAGATATTATTTCTACTCCTGAAAGTGTTCAAATGGTGATGTCACTCTGGACTAGCACAGAAAAGATGCCCAGTCCTCACAAAACCATCTTTATGGCCACGGGTCTTGACTCTATTCTAGCCATTCAGGTTTTATTCCATCTTAGACACTGGCCTTGATTCTCTTAGGCTAGGTACTAAAAATAGCATGACAACCTGGGTGAAATGTTACTCACATGGGGTTTGGTCCTCAGCTGAGAGCTCAATATCTGCTGCAAAAAAAAAAATATGATGCTTTAATTTTCAGACTTAATGCAAAATGTATATTATATGTAAGAATTAAATAATTTGTATGAATATATGCAATGCATTTGCTGTAAGTTATAGAGGTAAAAGAAAATGGATTCCGGAAGAAAATATGTTTTAATTGGAAAGTTAATCAGACATGTCAAAGCTAGAGTTACAGCTAGATTTGATCAGAAGTTAGGAGTTGCTAAGTCAGAGCAACATTGTTTACATGGGCGTAGGAACGTCATGAAAAGTGGATGGGCCACCCTGTCAAGGGGCCTCCTTTTCCAGGGGGCCTCCTATTTTCAGGGGCCTCCAACTTTTGCCTCATCCTGCTGGCTGCTTTCAAGTATGACCTCCAAATCTAGCTTCTGAGATCGGGCAGATGTACCCAGGGGCGTAACCGCTAAAGCGAACAATGCGGAAAGTCCGCACCATTTTTAAAACTTCTTCCCCCTCCGATTTTTTTTTAGAATCTATTTGCCGCAAACGGCGCATGACCCCTGAAAACCCTTACACAAATGTCTTCCTCGTTTCCCAGGTGCCCCCATTAGCTTCATAGGCGCCCTCTTTGGCATATAAGCGCCCTATGTGCCTATAGTCATCAGAGACATCCCTATATGTCCCACAGTCGCCCCGTTGTCGCATACAATGTGCGCTTATCATAGGCGTCTCTCTCTTATGGACACTTGAAGGCCATGCTCTTTTGCCATGCCGGCGCCCCTGTTTCTTATGAATGCACCCCCATGGCATTGATCAATTGCAATTTGCAGACCTCTATTGCATGTGGACGCCCATATATGTAGGCCTCAGAGGCGCCCCTCTTTCGCATTGAGGCGCCCCTATGGGCTTCATAGGCGCCCCTCTATTGCACGTAGGTGCCCTACTGTCTCAGAACCGCTCCCCTTTGGCATGCAGACGCCCATCTTTCGTACGGAGGAGCCGCTGTGGTTCTTAGAGACGGCATGGTGCTCCCAGACGCAGATGGGGCTCTCGGTGTCGACAGTGTGGGACCTTCAGTCGCTGATGGGTGCCCGCCAGATGTGGACCCTCGGAGACGCCGGTATGGGGCCCTCAGAGATGCCAGTATGTGGCCCTTAGAGACACCGGTGTGGAACCCTCAGATACTTCAGTGTGAAGCCCTTACAATTGCTGGTGTGGAGCTATGAATGCGCTGGCTTAAATCCCTCAGAGGCCGGTACATGGACATTAGAGCTCAGTGAGAGTTTGCGTTGTGCCTTCAGTGGCCTTGTGGAGCCGTTAGACATCAACATGGTGCTCTCAGGAGCCGGTGAGTCCTCAGAGTCACCGGTGTGGGGCCTTCAGAGCTCCAAGATACTGGTGTGGGGCCCTCAGAGGTGTCGGTGTGGGTCCTTCAGATGTACATATAGAGCCTTGAGATGCACAGGTGTGGTGGCCCACAGAGGCGCCGGTGTGGGGCCCCCAGAGCCACCGATATAGGGCCCTAAGAGACACTAGTATGACCCTCAAAGGCGCCGCTGTGTGACGCTCATAACCACTGGTGTGGAGCCATCACAGGCGGGTGGAGCCGTTAGAGGCCGAAAAGGGCCCTTAGATGCCTACAAGGAGCCTTCAGAAGCCTGTGTGGCACCCTTATGGGGATAAGCGTGTCTACTTGGGAGCCCTTGAGGTGCTCTCATGAGCTCTGTAGGGCCCCACCGAGCCGAAATATGGCCACGGCCAGTTGCCGCCGCATGGCTCTTCGGACTATCATTCTCAGGGGCCTCATCTGCCTAGTTTGAATAGAAGGGCCTCTCAGACCATCAGTCTCATGGGCCTCCTCTGGCTAGTATAAATAGAAGGGCCTGTAAGACCATCAATCCTAGGGGCCTCTTCTGGTTAGTATAAATAGAAGAGCCTCTCAGACCATTGATCTCAGGGGGCCCCTGTGGACAGTATAAATAAAAGGGCCTCTCAGACCATCAGTCCCGGGGGCCTCCCTAGAAAAGTGTAAATGTGGATATAGAGGGCCCCCTCAGATTCATTACGAGTGGACCTCTCTGACTATCAGTCTCAGGGGCCTCTTGTGGCCAGTATGCATATAAGAGCCTCTCAGACCATCGGTCTCAGGGGCCTCTTCTGACTAGTGTGGATAGAGGGCCCTCCCAGACCACCGGTTTCAGGGGCCTCCAGTGGCCAGTTATATGAACAGAAGGGCCTCACAGCCATCAGCCTCGGGGGCCTCTTCTGACTGGTGTGAATATGAGGGCCTCTCATACCATCAGTCTCAGGGGCCTCCTCTGCCTAGTGTGAATATAAGGGCTTCCCAGGGCATCAGTCTCAGGGGACTCTTCTGACTGGTGCCGGATTGAGGGACCTCCCAGACCGAAAGTTTTGGGGTCTCCTGTGGCCAGTATGAATAGGTAGAAGGGCCTCTCAGTCCATCAGTGTCATGGGCCCCTTCTGCCTGGTGTGATTATAAGGGCCTCTCAGGTCATCAGTCTCAGGGGCCTCCTCTGGCTACAGTGTAGATGGATAGGCCTCCCAGACCATCAGTCTCAGGGGCCTCTTCTGACTATTGAGGATAGATGGGCCTCCTCTGACTAGTGAGGGTAGGGGGCCTCGGCTAGACCGCCAGTGTCAGGGGCCTATTCTGACTAGTGTGGATGGAGGGGCCTCCCAGACCAGTGTGGATATTGGGGCCTCCTCAGATCCACTAGGGCCTCTCAGGCCATCAGTCTCAGGGGCTTCGACTGATAAGTATGAACAGAGGGCCTCCTTGGATCCATCACGGCCCCTTGGAGTCCGTGCGTGGGGATTCGTGGAACTTATTTTTACCGAGTTTGTTTATTCTGGAAGGTGACGACCTCCTCTCAAATCGAGACGAGGGGCCTCGAGTAAAAAGTGGGTGGGCCAAAACACATGGTTGGCCCACCCACCTCGAAAAGTGGGTGGGCACTTGCCCACCTGCCCCCCCCCTGTTCCTACGCCTATGATTGTTTATGTTTATGTTTATGTTTATTTCAATTTAACACCAACGGGCAGATACCCAGTAACAGATGCAGTCTTTTCATGAAACTCAGTTATCATTATCATTATCAAAGTAGATAAATTTTTCAATCAGTTTCAGAATAAAAGATAGAAAAAAAAAACAATACAAATAATGAAACAAAGACAAAAAAATATGACAATGAATGGGATAGATGTCAGAACAGAAACTCTAAAGTGGTGTGAAAGTATCTGTTGCAATATACCAACCATGACCAAATATTTAATAGATTTTATTTGTGTAGGCGATGGTCTTTCTCTGTGTCACATTGGCCATGTGTGTTATTCTGAGGCAGCTATGTTCAACATAAACCAGTTGCTGGACAGGAAAGTCACCAAGCTATCCTTACTTTGCAATGTCCACAATGTTACATGAATCTCCTAGATGTGCTAAACTACAAAAATTACGGCGATATGGCAGTCAGTCATCATGGGCGCAAAATGACCTTAGTAGTCGGCGCGCCCTAAAGCCCCAATTAAGAAACAAGGCAGTCAGTCATTCACCTGCAGTTGTAATTATTCACAGTCGCCACGCCATGTGTGGATCGCCCACGATCGTAAATGCAATACAAATACAATACAATACAATACAATACTGTCATGCCATGAAACATTCATTCTTACTCCTGTTGTCCATAGGGAAATTACTTCTAATTACCTCTAGTTTCTCAGTAGATGTCATTCTGAATAGCATATTTAAGCGTGTGCCTACTCGATTCCTCATTCTTGTGACTTATTTCTTAACTTTATGTGGTGATGGGAACAAATGATAACAATTAATTGGTTAACTACAGTGCACCACAGTAGCCTCTCTGACATCACTGCCCAACTCATTGTCCTCCGTCTCTTTCAGTAAGAACGTGGCAGACTACAGCGCCTCGCGCGAGAAGAACGACCTGGGCTTCCTGACGTTCGACCTGGAGGCCGACCTGACGTCCGTGTTCAACTGGAACGCCAAGCAGCTGTTCCTCTACCTGGTGGCCGAGTATCAGACGCCCAAGAACACACTCAACCAGGTGGTGCTCTGGGATAAGATCATCCTACGCGGCGAGAACGCCAAGATCGACGTCAAGAGCATCAACACCAAGTACTACTTCTGGGACGATGGCAACGGCCTAAAGTGAGTCGCAGCTGTGTAAATGGAGCCCTGTTGTGGAAACATCACTGTGCGATGGACACCTGCTAAAGTGATCGTATTGTTGAGTGTTGACACATGCTTTGCGTTATGACAGCATAGTCTGTACCCATTTTGCCGTATATTTATTGCTTATGGTGTAGTTCATGTCTGTTAGTTCAAACTGTTTTCAATGCATCTTCTTGAAATCGTAGGTGCCCTTCCACCAGAACACTTATTTTGACGCCGCTCTCGCGGGTGGCGCCTGTTCAGCGTTACCGCCGGCTCCGCTCCGCCTGTGACCTGACTGACCTCCGCCTGTTTCCGGCACAGGAACAACCAGAACGTGACGCTGGCGCTGCACTGGAACGTGATCCCCAACGCGGGCCTCCTACCGAACGTGGCGGCCCACGGTCTGCACACGTTCTCGTTCCCGGCGCAGTACGCCACCGCGCGAGGAGCCTAAACTGCCGCGGGTGGTGCTGCCACCTGTCGACGCCTGGCTGAACTGACGGTTCGCTGTGCGGCCACCAGGTGATCGCACGGAGCAGCAGCCGCCGTGAAAATAGGCGAATGGGGGATGTGAGGGAACGTGTCACTTCTTGGGCTAGTTCCGCGCACTGTGCTAAGCGCTCTTTGGGCTCACAAATTAAAAGGAAATCATAAATCGTTAACTTCTTGAAGCATTAGTTCGAAAAAGTATTCAACTTGACACACAAAAAAAATCAATGGATTTGTTCTGGCCTCGGCATATATTTTTGTTGACAGACGTCATGCAACAGAAAGGTAGATATGCTGTACATGAGGGTTGGGACTTGAGGCAGGGAGGGTTGTTTCTTCAACTGTGTGATGGAACGCTTCTTTTGTGGATTGCGTATCTGCTGTGGTGTTTGCATGGGTTTGGGTAGTGGGAAAGCGTTTCGTTGAGGCTAAACGTAGAGGGAACAACGACGTCAAGCGGCGCTCTGCACGAAGTGGCCGACCATTGGTGTTGCTACGAGCCACCCCAACAGATTATTGTCATGCGTGTCCATTGGATGGCTTCTAGCAAACCAGTTTCACAAAAGTGGTGGTGGAGCCACAGTATGTCAATACACTGTGTCCTGAAACCGCAGTGTTTAATGGTTCGCTTAGTTTAGGAAATGATGGTGTATGGCTCTCATTACATTTGACCATATATTGTGATGGTGATCAAAATGATGATAGTTAGGTATCCGTCGCTAAGTGCAGCTCAAATTGTTTGAATTCGCGTTACCCTGTACTCTTTCCGACTATCGTTGCTAACAAGCATCAGTCACCGAACAGCGATCTTCCTCCTAGTGTAATCAGGCCGTATTAGATGATTATTATGGCCCATGGATGGTTTCGTGCTCCGAGGGTGGCTCTTCGCCAAGTGTGCTAGCCGGCAGCTCAAGGCTACCCAGCATTTCTGTACATAGTCCTGGCAAACACCATGGTAATGTGTTATCAGAGGTCGTCAGCAATGGGTCAGCCCGGACGTTGCCGCACATGGGCCCTGCGTGATCAGTTGCACTGAGGGTGTTTGCATTGGTTACGCGCGTGCCTTTTCCAGATAGCGCCCCACAAGGCGTGTGCGTCGTGCCTTTTACTATGCTCTATTTGACATCAAACACCGCTGACTGAATCCATTGGTCGACAGTGTATACAGGGAACGCGAAGACGGCCGCAATTATCGTCATTGAGAGCCATTGCGCATTCCGCTGTTATATTTGGAAATGCACCCGGATAGCGTGGGCAATGACTGTGAGTGCCTTCGAACTATCAAACAATAACGGCCCTTATGGTCATCTACTGCATACATAAAGCGCGTTATGTAATGCAGTAACATAAGATGCTCGACCATGAGTGTTTGAGTTCATTTGACAGTGCCGATATACGCTGTATAGAATTTTCAGTCATATGTAACAGCAAAGGTAGGTATAGACCAAAACAAGGTTATACCAATTTGGCATATTTTGACATCAACCACGATCCCGAAGGTCCTTTGGTGAAGCCTTTGTCAAAGCTCGATAGCTCATGAACCATATTTTCACAGGTGTGGCGATATCCTAGATCCAATTTGTAATGTTGCATTGAGGTACAAATCTACTAGATAACTCATATGATCAGGAGCATCGTTACAGGACGAAGTATTACAGCCATATTCATAAAGTTAGTCATTGACAAATGGTGTAAAACGGCTCTTGGTTTACGAGTGCCAAATTCCTTTGCAAATAATCGTGAGCAAGTCCTATCATTTTTCCCTTGGCTGCCAGGGTGGGATTTAAAACACCTATGACAACAAAGCAATGGCCATTCAACTCCGGGTCCCGGCCAGTGTCTCCCCCGACCCGGTACAATTTTGCATCGGACGGTCGAAGTTCTTTATGAGACCGTTCCATGTAATGGTACTCGCATTCTATGTTGGCTTTACTACCCTACTTACACACCACTTAACTATATTGACAGACTCCTCGCGTCAGGGAAATGAATATCCTTGAGGCAATGTACACACGCCGTCATTTGTATGGATTATGGGGTCTACCGAACTCGTCCTCCTGCACTCCCACTGTCCTGCGGGGTCAGGCTGCAGGCGGGTGCTTAGCGCCGCACTCCTGGCGGTGCCGGTTTCAGGACGATCTCCGCCAAGGTGCGAGGGCGCCCACGACAACCAGCTCACCACTCACAGAGGTACAGTACCAGCTTCGCTGCCTCCCTGCGGCTGTCGGATCGGCTGCACCGGTAGATCACGTTCGCACCATGTGGCACCACAGCCGACTGCTGCGGGCCGTGCTGCTGCTCTCCTCTCTGCTCTCGCTGGCCGGCCTGCATGTGTCGGGCCCGACATCTCCGGACGGGTGGCGCGCGGCACGCCTCGTGCCGTTGACGTTCACCGCGCTCAGCGCGCTCGGTAACCTGGCGTACGTGGTGACCAGCGGCAGCTCGCGGGCGGCGCTGGCCGCCATGCCGTTCGGGGTGCTGGCGCTGCACGCGACGCTGGTGCTGGTCCACCTGTTCCGCCGGCGCCGCCAGCTGCACGCCATCCTGGACAGGGCCGTCAGCGTCGAGCGAGCGACCGCGTTCTGCCGGGAGCACGGCGACTTTTCCTGGTTCCAGTGGCGACTGGGCATCTTGTGTTTTATCACAGTCAGCACCATAACGTTGTGGTTAGCTGCATCTCTGTTGGCGGCGGAATTAAAACCTCCGTATTACCTGTACCCGATGCTGCTCCCCGAGGCTCTACGCGGACTGGACTTCTACTGGGTCATCCTCGGTCTCCAGATAGCAGCATCCGTAATGTCATTCACCATCCAGAGCACATTCGACGTTCTCCAGATGGGACTGGCAGACGCCGTAAGTGTCGCCCAGATCCGTCTGACCAGATACGTCAGCCGACTGGTGGTATCCACGACGCCTGCCTCGGGAGACCTGTTTGGAGACTTTCCGGTATGGAGCCTGGATAAAGCCCCCGCCAATGGTGGCAAAGATGCCGAACTGGCTGTCCCAGCAGTCGCCGCTGAAGTCAGAGCCTCCGTCACACCGTTCAGGCCTCGTAAGGTGGGTGCCGCTGAAGCCCACTGGTCGCCCGCCATCAGCAGGGATTTCACCAAGCCCGACGTAAAGACCTGGTCACAGAAGCCACACAGCGCTGCCCCAGCCGCCCCGGACAACCAGCAAACCACGGGGGGTACGCACTGCCGGCACACATGCCCCACTCTGCCGGCGCCCGACGGAGACCTGCACGAGGGCCTGCGCCTGCTGGCGGGCGCGTACCGTTCAGTGCGCGAGCTGGCCACCGAGAGCGCCGAGCTGTGCTCTCTACCCACGCTGACTCAGCACGCCAGCGTCACTCTGGTCCTGCTGATCGGCGTGTACGTGGCCATCGACGGCTCCAAGGTGAACACCGCCCTGGTGTTCGGCAGCTTCGTGCTGTTCCTGCTGCTGAACACCCTCCGTCTGATGGCCGTCAGCGTGACCGGCAGCCGGCTGATCGACAGCGGCGAGGCGCTCTCGGCGGCGCTGGTGGCCACCAGCTGGCCCCGCCCGCTGCCCGCCCAGCTCCAGTTCGAGGTCATCATGCTGGTGGAGTGCACCAGGAAGCCGATCATGTTCGACGGATACGGCATCTTCGTACCGCAGAAGGAGACCCTGCTATCCCTGCTGAGCTTCATTCTAACGTATTTCGTTATTATGATACAGATCGGTCTGTAGCGGAAATGGAAACCGATTACCGAAGTAGCTGAATGGAAATGAACCCTGCATCGCACTTGTCGATTGTTGATGCCATTAGATTTTTATTTAAACTGAAGATAAATGAGCGAGTAGTGAGTACCACTACATACATAGCAAGGAAACCGTTTAGAGATATGTTTTTTTTTTTACCTTAGCCGTTTGTAGCTTATTCAGCAGGTCGAGTATTTTTTTTAAGCAAACCATTGTTCTCGAAAGCATGCATTCCTGCATTGCGAATCCGTTTAACTGTTTTTTTTTTTTGCCATTCGCCTCACCTTTCTATGGCCTGTTGGCTGTTAACTAATACACAATTGAGTTATCCTACTTCCAGTCGTATCTCTTCGCAGGGTAGAATGCACTGAACCGACCAATCTTGCACTAAAGGTCTGGTGAAAGTCTGCGCAGTTTGAAACACCAGCCCAGAAGCTTGGATTCTGCAGTTTAGGCAAGATTGTGGTACAGAAGGTACCCATGATAGTTCACTTTTGGTGGTGGTTGGTAACAATATTTTACATTCTTCTGGAGGAGGGCGTTTTTAATCACACCACAGTTTATTAATGTGAGCGGAAAACCACGGCGTGGAGCGAGGCGAGCCTTAGTACAGTTAACCCTCGCCCGCACATGGGGGGGGGGAGTGACCACCCCCCAGGTAGTCTTTCTGCTCTGCACTCAACATTTGTAGAGCTAAAAGGCTGATTTTTCGTATAGCTGCTCCTCTATCCTTTCTTGATGTCCACTGAAAATTTCAGGTTTCTGTGATTTTTTGTTTCGGAGATATGACCTTGTTTTTCAGGTCATGTCATGACCCAAATGGCCAATTCTCAACATCTTGCGTTTGCCATGGGCCTTATGAGCTTTTGACACCCTGATTTCGGCCTTTTTTGCCAGTCTTACCTCCTACCTATCATGGAACATGTTGTTCGACGATGTACAGGGGTCAAGGTCAGGGTCAAGGTCAACCTAGGTCACCTAAGATAATTGCGTTTTAGGCAAGCTGAATTTACTTTTTTTTGAAGTTTTTTGACTGCATTTTTGGTAAAAGCTTCTCAGATCATGATTTCATGTAATATGGACCCAAAAACAATCGGTGCACACATCAGTATACACACAGACACACACAGACATACAAACGCATATAATTGACCTTGACCTAACTTGACCTGAAATGACCTCAGCAGCAAAATTCTTGTCGGGTAGTGTGACAAAGAGGTTCTAGCTGGCTTGGCACCAGAAAACAGCATCGTCATCGGTATTTGATAAGCAGCACACTTGATATCTAACGGTGACCCAAAACAGAAACATTTTTTAGTTTGACCTAACCTGGAAGGTCAATGACTGACCTGAGAAGGTAAAACTGGGTATCATTGGATTCGTCTCTTCCCAAAGAATCTTTTTGGTCCTTACTGCTAAGCTCTATCTCCAACAGGAACGAAATGGCGCGGGGGGTGGCAACCCCCCCCCCCCCCCATGTGCGTTCTAGGATGGGAAAATGGCATGTGCGGGCGAGGGTTAAAGACGCATCAATTTTAGATCTTATGTACATAGATACACATCGCACAATTGATTTTCCCAACAATTTTTGCGATAACTTTGGTGTCAATAATTATAGGAGACCGAGGCTAAGCGGCCACTCGGGGTTAAATGGCTATCCCGTATTTTATCCATTCATAAAAGGTATCAACTCCAGTTGTTGGTTGCCAATTATAGTCCTCCTCGCGGTCGTTCGAATGAGCCACACCGGGGTTTCCGGCCCGTCGCTATTGCTCTGTAATACACGGAAAAAGTATTTGTTCCCAGACCTGTGTCTTACTATTTTTACGCTTCTTAAATTTTTCATCGATAACCGTTTGGGATTTCATTTAAGCATACTTATTCAC